GATTTATAAATCGGGGTGAGTGGTGAGTAACTTTTATTTAGTATACGTTATAAAAGCTTGCTAGCTTATAGTCGTTATACGTGACTATCGTTTTAACGTTTCACTCTTTGCCTGAAAGTGGAATTAAAGAAAAAAGATTTCTGTTATTTTGTGACCTTCTATTTTTTCGAAATATTTAAGATGTTTTTCTGGTTGAAAAATAAATTTAAAATCGAAAATAACGAGTAACATTTTCTTCTATTAATTTTCGTTCTTGAGATATTGTTCTCTAAATCCCTCGATATTGGCGTTTTTTGTAAATTCTAAAACTTTCGAGTCAAATATCTCAAGAACGGTGGTTGATATGAAAAAATGTTATTCCTCATTTTCGATTTAAAAAACATTTGTCTACACATCCAACTTATCCTCTTTTCTTTGAAGATGATTGTTAATAAATTCAACCCAAAAAGTCGAATGAAAATGTGTGATTTATGAAGTTTTCCTTTTATTTCGAGATCTCTTAATTCACCTCTATGATTTTTTCGGAACCTTTAAGATGCTTTTCTGGTTGAAAAATAAATTTAAAATCGAAAATAAAGAGTAACATTTTCTTCTATTAATTTTCCTTCTTGAGATATTGTCCTTTAAATCCCTCTATATTGGCGTTTTTTGTAAATTCTAAAACTTTCGAATCAAATATCTCAAGAACTGTGATTGATATGAAAAAATGTTATTCCTCATTTTCAATTTAAAAAACATTTATCTACACAACCAACTTATCCGCTTTTCTTTGAAGATGATTGTTAATAAATTCAATCCAAAAAGTCGGTTGAAAATATGTGATTTATGAAGTTTTCCTTTTATTTCGAGATCTCCTAATTCACCTCGATGATTTTTTCGAAACCTTTATGATGCTTTTCTGGTTGAAAAAAAAATTTAAAATCGAAAATAAAGAGTAACATTTTCTTCTATTAATTTTCCTTCTTGACATATTGTCCTTTAAATCCCTCAATATTGGCGTGTTTTGTAAATTCTAAAACTATCGAGTCAAATATCTCAAGAACGGTGGTCGATATGAAAAAATGTTATTCCTCATTTTCGATTTAAAAAACATTTATCTACACAACCAACTTATCCGCTTTTCTTTGAAGATGATTGTTAGTAAATTCAATCCAAAAAGTCGGATGAAAGTGTGTGATTTATGAAGTTTTCCTTTTATTTCGAGATCTCCTAATTCACCTCGACGATTTTTTGAAAACTTTAAGAGGATTTTCTGGATGAAAAGTAAATTTAAAATCGAAAATAAAGAGTAACATTTTCTTCTATTAATTTTCGTTCTTGAGATATTGTCCTTTAAATCCCTCAATATTGGCGTTTTTTGTAAATTCTTAAACTTTCGAGTCAAATATCTCAAGAACGGTGGTTGATATGAAAAAATGTTATTCCTCATTTTCGATTTAAAAAACATTTATCTATACAACCAACTTATCCGTTTTTTTTTGAAGATGATTGTTAATATATTCAATCCAAAAAGTCGGATGAAAATGTGTGATTTATGAAGTTTTCCTTTTATTTCGAGATTTCTTAATTCACCTCGATGATTTTTACGAGACCTTTCAGATGCTTTTCTGGTTGAAAAATAAATTTAAAATCGAAAATAAAGAGTAACATTTTCTTCTATTAATTTTCCTTCTTGAGATATTGTCCTTTAAATCCCTCTATATTGGCGTTTTTTGTAAATTCTAAACTTTCGAGTCAAATATCTCAAGAACGGTGGTTGATATGAAAAAATGTTATTCCTCATTTTCAATTTAAAAAACATTTATCTACACAACCAACTTATCCGCTTTTCTTTGAAGATGATTGTTAATAAATTCAATCCAAAAAGTCGATTGAAAATATGTGATTTATGAAGTTTTCCTTTTATTTCGAGATCTCCTAATTCACCTCGATGATTTTTTCGAAACATTTAAGATGCTTTTCTGGTTGAAAAATAAATTTAAAATCGAAAATAAACCGTAACATTTTCTTCTATTAATTTTCGTTCTGGAGATATTGTCCTTTAAAGCCCTCAATATTGGCGTTTTTTGTAAATTCTAAAACTTTCGAGTCAAATATCTCAAGAACGGTGGTTGATATGAAAAAATGTTATTCCTCATTTTCAATGTAAAAAACATTTATCTACACAATCAACTTATCCGCTTTTCTTTGAAGATGATTGTTAATAAATTCAATCCAAAAAGTCGGATGAAAATGTGTGATTTATGAAGTTTTCCTGTTATTTCGAGATCTCCTAATTCACCTCGATGTTTTTTTCGGAACCTTTAAGATGCTTTTCTGGTTGAACAATAAATTTAAAATCGAAAATAAAAAGTAATATTTTCTTGTATTAATTTTCGTTCTCGAGATATTGTCCTTTAAATCCCTCAATATTGGCGTTTTTTGTAAATTCTTAAACTTTCGAGTCAAATATCTCAAAAACGGTGGTTGATATGAAAAAATGTTATTCCTCATTTTCAATTTAAAAAACATTTATCTACACAACCAACTTATCCGCTTTTCTTTGAAGACGATTGTTAATAAATTCAATCCAAAAAGCCGGATGAAAATGTGTGATTTATGAAGTTTTCCTTTTATTTCGAGATCTCCTAATTCACCTCGATGATTTTTTCGAAACCTTTAAGATGCTTTTCTGGTTGAAAAATAAATTTAAAATCGAAAATAAAGAGTAACATTTTCTTCTATTAATTTTCCTTCTTGAGATATTGTCCTTTAAATCCCTCTATATTGGCGTTTTTTGTAAATTCTAAACTTTCGAGTCAAATATCTCAAGAACGGTGGTTGATATGAAAAAATGTTATTCCTCATTTTCAATTTAAAAAACATTTATCTACACAACCAACTTATCCGCTTTTCTTTGAAGATGATTGTTAATAAATTCAATCCAAAAAGTCGGATGAAAATGTGTGATTTATGAAGTTTTCCTTTTATTTCGAGATCTCCTAATTCATCTCGATGATTTTTTCAGAACCTTTAAGATGCTTTTCTGATTGCAAAATAAATTTAAAATCGAAAATAAAGAGTAACATTTTCTTCTATTAATTTTTGTTCTTGAGATATTCTCCTTTAAATCCCTCAATATTGGCATTTTTCGTAAATTCTAAAACTTTCGAGTCAAATATCTCAAGAACGGTGGTTGATATGAAAAAATGTTATTCTTCATTTTCGATTTAAAAAACATTTATCTACACAACTAACTTATCCGTTTTTCTTTGAAGATGATAGTTAATAAATTCCATCCAAAAAGTCGGATGAAAATGTGTGATTTATGAAGTTTTCCTTTTCTTTCGAGATTTCTTAATTCACCTCGATGATTTTTACGAGACCTTTCAGATGCTTTTCTGGTTGAAAAATAAATTTAAAATATAATAATAACAACCATCTTAAACCGCTTTTCTTTGAAGATGATTGTTAATAAATTCAATCCAAAAAGTCGGTTGAAAATATGTGATTTATGAAGTTTTCCTTTTATTTCGAGATCTCCTAATTCACCTCGATGATTTTTTCGAAACCTTTATGATGCTTTTCTGGTTGAAAAAAAAATTTAAAATCGAAAATAAAGAGTAACATTTTCTTCTATTAATTTTCCTTCTTGACATATTGTCCTTTAAATCCCTCAATATTGGCGTGTTTTGTAAATTCTAAAACTATCGAGTCAAATATCTCAAGAACGGTGGTCGATATGAAAAAATGTTATTCCTCATTTTCGATTTAAAAAACATTTATCTACACAACCAACTTATCCGCTTTTCTTTGAAGATGATTGTTAGTAAATTCAATCCAAAAAGTCGGATGAAAGTGTGTGATTTATGAAGTTTTCCTTTTATTTCGAGATCTCCTAATTCACCTCGACGATTTTTTGAAAACTTTAAGAGGATTTTCTGGATGAAAAGTAAATTTAAAATCGAAAATAAAGAGTAACATTTTCTTCTATTAATTTTCGTTCTTGAGATATTGTCCTTTAAATCCCTCAATATTGGCGTTTTTTGTAAATTCTTAAACTTTCGAGTCAAATATCTCAAGAACGGTGGTTGATATGAAAAAATGTTATTCCTCATTTTCGATTTAAAAAACATTTATCTATACAACCAACTTATCCGTTTTTTTTTGAAGATGATTGTTAATATATTCAATCCAAAAAGTCGGATGAAAATGTGTGATTTATGAAGTTTTCCTTTTATTTCGAGATTTCTTAATTCACCTCGATGATTTTTACGAGACCTTTCAGATGCTTTTCTGGTTGAAAAATAAATTTAAAATATAATAATAACAACCATCTTAAACCGCTTTTCTTTGAAGATGATTGTTAATAAATTCAATCCAAAAAGTAGGATAAAAATACGTGATTTATGAGGTGACGTTTTATTTTGTGATCTCCTAATTCATCTCGACGATTTTTTCGAATCTTCTAAGATGTTTTTCTGGTTGAAAAATAAATTTAAAATCGAAAATAAATAGTAAAATTTTCTTCTTTGTCTTTTCGTTCTTAAGATATTTTCCTTTAAATTTCACAATGTTGACGTTTCTTGCAAATTCTAAAACTTTCGAGTCAAATATTTCAAAAATGGTGGTTGATATTAAAAAATTTTATCCCTCATTTTCGATTTAAAATCATTTATTAACACGACCCACTTATCCGCTTATCCATGAAGATGATTATTAATAAATACCATCCGAAAAATCGGATAAAAATGTGTGATTTCTTAATTATAACACTTTATTATTTTGATAAATGGGACAAAATAGGCATAACAATAGTATTAAATTATTTTTTGGCATGCTTCTTCAGTACCATAGTCATAAATAGGTAAATTGCATTGTTTAATCCCATCCAATGTATTTACAAATGTAGCATTTAGATTTCGTAATTTCGAAAATACTTGCAAGTCATCTACAATAATGTTTTAAAAACATTCAATATTCTAATCACCACGTTCTAAATTATATACTTACTTGTATTTGAATCGTATATTATCGCATATTTATTACAATCCGTATCTAACATTATAATTCCTTCTGAAATACTTTCTGAATAATAAATAGAAGCGTTTTCATCTCTTACAACGTTGTAATTAAATACTTGTGTTTCACTAAAAACTCAATTAATTAACGAATTTTTTTCGTTTGTTTCCCTTGACTTACTCATCCTTAATCACCGTATCAGTAATAGCAAGATGTCTGTCACTTATTTGTGTCATATTGCGATATATGCAGCAATTTTCGCAAGGTTTGCTCCCACCAATTTGAAACCATTTTCTGCCATTTTCCACGCACTGAAAAAAATTCAAATTATACAGAAATAATTCAATAGTAATGAAAGATTTTAAAAAATACCGTTTTTTCAGAAAATGTTTTGATTGGATCAGGATTTGAACACTGAAGTGTATTTCCTGTTGTTAATACCATACTAAAAATTATCGTAAAATAATTTTTGTTACCCATTATCGATTGCTAAATGATTTACGTGTTGATTTTCAAATTGTCGACTTACCTTTAAATACCAACAAAAAATATTTTAGGTATGCGACGGAAATTTTTTAGCAATCGTTGAAACGAAATAAAGTTATCTTCAACGTTTAACTAAATGGAACTAAACAAAGGAATTTTAATGATTTTGTATGACGTATTTTAGCTATTTTGGTCTTCAATTTACAAAATATTAAGTTTTACCTAACATGTGTTATTATCCAATAGGCACGTTTTTAAAAACGTGTATTTATTATTTGTATCCGTTATTTATTAATTAACTTTATCGCAGCTTTTAAGCAATTGGAAACAATGTGCTGCTCACAATATAGTGTTATTATCACATATTGGCACTAGCTATAATTGGAAATTTTCATTTCGATCGTTTTTTCGATTTCGATTACGATCCAATTCCTATTTCGATTCAAATTTGGTTATAGAGTAAGTCTGATTGTGTATCAGTGTCAAGTAGACCTCACAGATTACCAATCTAGCTAGATTTGTGATAGCACTAGCGTTGAAATTAAAAATAAATGAGGTAGTTTATGATCTGTTGGATACCTTCACGTTGTTTGGAGTACCGTTAATTTTCTGGTCGAATATGGAAAGGAAAAAAAAATACTTTCAAGCTACTGGAAAGTGTATTGATTTTCATTAAACACTATTCATTTTAATAAAAGTGTTTCCAAGAAGTGGCCAAGTTTAAGTATAACAGAAATCAATTTTAAACACTATTCATAACAACACATAATTGTTTAACAATTTCTTGCACAAAACAGGACAATTTGATAATTTCCGCAGATTTTAGACAAAATCAATCTTTTCATCCATATATGCTTGCTCCAAGTGAGACGACTCCATTACACTCCATCGGTGGTGGAATGTTGTTGAGATTTATTAATAGGCATTTACGCCTCCTAAGAGTGAGTATATTATGTTGGGTTTCGCACTATTGCCATTTTCCTCCATATCGTCAGCTACTCCTGAAGCAAATCCAGATGGTACTGAAGATGGTGGATAGCCAATTTAGATTGAATGTGGGTGAACAGAAAGATCCGAGGTAGTCTTGGTACACTTGTGGGACTCCAGATCCATTGATTGTAGCGTTGAGTACTCACAATCCTGTCGGAGCAAAAAGAAATTTTTAATTTTTCATTTAATTTAAAGAAACATTGTTAGGTATCAGTCTAACACAATAGGCATGTTATGCGGCAGCCACATTTCCATTTTTGAAATCAGTTCATCATTCCACACCTTGTCAAAAGACAGAGAAACATCTAAGAAAGTAGCAGTGCAGTACTTTTTATTCTGCAATGCATCTCTTATAGTTTTTACGAATTTATAGATCTGTTCCACTGTGTCATGTTGAGCTCTAAAGCCAAACTGGTAATGTGGTATTAATTTCTTCCTGGATAGAGTATCCTGTAGACAGAAGGCTAATGTAGAAGTCTATATTCGGCTAGGTATCTTAATAATTTTTGATGCCTTCCATTGTATAAAAAATAGCAGTATTGGTAAAATAGCTCACTATAACAACATTACAACATTGAAGACGTAAAGGAATAACGTAAGGCCTTTATCTTTATTTGCTCCAGAATTGTGCAGATAATCTGCTCGGTTTTGTTGGTGTAAGTCCATCAACAAAGTCCNGAAATTTTCATTTCGATCGTTTTTTCGATTTCGATTACGATCCAATTCCTATTTCGATTCAAATTTGGTTATAGAGTAAGTCTGATTGTGTATCAGTGTCAAGTAGACCTCACAGATTACCAATCTAGCTAGATTTGTGATAGCACTAGCGTTGAAATTTAAAATAAATGAGGTAGTTTATGATCTGTTGGATACCTTCACATTGTTTGGAGCACCGTTAATTTTCTGGTCGAATATGGAAAGGAAAAAAAATACTTTCAAGCTACAAGAAAGTGTATTGATTTTTATTAAACACTATTCATTTTAATAAACGTGTTTCCAAGAATTGGCCAAGATTAAGTATAACAGAAATCGATTTTAAAGACTATTCATAACAACACATAATTGTGTAACAATTTCTTGCACAAAACAGGACAATTTGATAATTTCCGTAGATTTTAGACAAGATCAATCTTTTCATCCATATATGCTTGCTTCAAGTGAGACGACTCCATTACACTCCATCGGTGGTGGAATGTTGTTGAGATTTATTAATAGGCATTTATGCCTCCTAAGAGTGAGTATATTATGTTGAGTTTCGCATTATTGCCATTTTCCTCCATGTCGTCAGCTACTCCTGAAGCAAATCCAGGTGGTACTAAAAATGGTGGATAGCCAATTTAGATTGAATGGGTGAACAGAAAGATCCGAGGTAGTCTTGGTACACTTGTGGCACTCTAGATCCATTGGTTGTAGGATTGAGTACTCATAATCTTGTCGGAGTAAAACGAAATTTTTAATTTTTTATTTAATTTAAAGAAACATTGTTAGGTATGAGTCTAACACAATAGGCATGTTATGCGGCAGCCACATTTCCATTTTTGAAATCAATCCATCATACCACACCTTATCAAAAGACAGAGAAACATCTAAGAAAGTAGCAGTGCAGTACTTTTTATTCTGCAATGTATCTCTTATAGTTCTTACGAATCTATAGATTTGTTCAACTGTGCCATGTTGAGCTCTAAAGCAAACTGGTAATGTGGTATTAACTTCTTCTTGGATAGAGTATCCTGCAGGTTACTCAACCCAACCCTCCCCAGTACCTTTAATAACACCGACAGAAGGCTAATGTAGAAGTCTATATTCGGCTAGGTATCTTAATAATTTGCGATACCTTCCATTGTATAAAAAATAGCAGTATTGGTAAAATAGCTCACTATTACAGCATTACAACATTGAAGACGTAAAGGAATAACGTAAAGCCTTTATCTTTATTTGCTCCAGAATTGTGCAGATAATCTGCTCGGCTTTGTTGGTGTAAGTCCATCAACAAAGTCCTAGATATCGTGCACACTCACTCTTTTGATTAGAAAGTCCAGTTGATGGGGAGCTGCCAGTGTTTCCTAAAACTTGTCATGAACTATAGATTTTCTAGAATTTAGAACAAGCACATTTACTTTTCTACTTGGTTCTTGCCTACGCGCCGTTTTTCTTCCTTAGCCATATTTGTGGATTGCTACTGTTTCAATGCCTCCGTCATTTTTCAAACACAGTACTTATTTCCAGGAGATCCATGTTGCAAATAGACAACATGTTTATTATATATGTTTATTTTGTAAAAAAAAATAAAAGCAAGTTTCGAAGTTAAATTTTTGTTACAACAGTAATTATTGGCGGTGTATGGAACAAGTTTTTTAAAGAAGTTTTCGGTTTTTGTGTTCTTATGTATCTGTAATGCTTCTTTCAGCGTTTGTAAAGCCCTATTTAATTTTTTTTTATGGTAAGGTTTTAGAGCGATTTTTGAAGTTTTCCTTAGTTTCCTTTTCTCTTTAATCATGTTGAATATTACGTGAGGACAATACCCAGGGCTGCCATACGACGATTCTAGAGGAGTACATTTCCGCGCAGCTTTTTGGATTGTCAGCATCAAATGTTGCGCAGGTTTATAGCTGCTTCAACGAGAAATGTAGAATGATTAGATAATTTAAATAAAGGTTCCATTTTAACGTAGTAATGATATCGATTTCATCATTCCATCAATATATTGGTCAACTTCTAAAAATAGAGTTTAGCTTATTGTCCAAAAGACCTTTGTAAAGATTTCATCCACTGGTGGGGATGAGTCTTGATCCCCAGAAATAAGGTTTTGAATCATAATGGTGTGCAGCTATNACAACATTACAACATTGAAGACGTAAAGGAATAACGTAAGGCCTTTATCTTTATTTGCTCCAGAATTGTGCAGATAATCTGCTCGGTTTTGTTGGTGTAAGTCCATAAACAAAGTCCTAGATATCGTGCACACTCACTCTTTTGATTGGAAAGTCCAGTTGATGGGGAGCTGCCAGTGTTTACTAAAACTTGTCATGAACTATAGCTTTTCTAGAATTTAGAACAAGCACATTTACTGTTTTTAGTTGGTTCTTGCCTACGCGCCGTTTTTCTTTCTTAGTCATATTTGTGGATTGCTACTGCTTCAATGTCTCCGTCATTTTTCAAACACAATACTTATTTCCAGGAGATCCATGTTACAAATATAGAATAATTCAAACAAAAATTTAACTTCAAAACTTGCTTTTACAACCGTCATTATTGTCGGTGTGTAGATCAAGTTTTTTAAAGAAGTTTTCGGTTTTTGTGTTCTTATGTATCTGTAATGCTTCTTTCAGCTTTTGTAAAGCCCTATTTAATTTTGTTTTATGGTAAGAGGGTTTAAAGCGATTTTTGAAGTTTTCCTTAGTTTCCTTTTCTCTTTAATCATATTGAATACTACGTGAGGACAATACCCAGGGCTACCATACGACGATTCTAGAGGAGTACATTTCCGTGCAGCTTTTTAGATTGTCAGCAACAAATGTTGCGCAGCTTTTATTGCTGCTTCAACGAGAAATGTAGAATGATTAGATAATTTAAATAAACGTTCCATTTTAACGTAGCAATGATATCGATTTCATCATTCCATCAATATATTGGTCAACTTCTAAAAATAGAGTTTAGCTTATTGTCCAAAAGACCTTTGTAAAGATTTCATCCTCTGGTGGGGATGAGTCTTGATCCCCAGAAATAAGGTTTTGAATCATAATGGTTCAATGGATCATCATTTGCTAACACAAGTGTCAAACACTTTTCATGAAAACTAAACTTTCTCCTTCTTCCAGTTTCTATTTAACTCCGCATTAGTTCAATAATGTTTCAATAGTAATGAAACATTTAAAAAAATACCGTTTTTTCAGAAAATGTTTTGATTGGATCAGGATTTGAACACTGAAGTGTATTTCCTGTTGTTAATACCATACTAAAAATTACCGTA